ACGTAGCGTTACGCAGTAAGCGACATTCGAAAGAGCGTTAAAAATAATGACGGAAGCACCTCTGTCGTTTTTGGGTCGGGTCAAAGGTCAGGTCGCCAGTGGTCATCAAAGGTCAAATTTAGTCCATTTCAACAATTTTGGTAACTGCCAACGGCTAACTGGGAACCAATAGAGCTACAGCGCCGCGGAGAAGTGCTTGGTGCAGTCGATAGTCCTTTTACAGACCTTTCCGAATAATGTTCTCAGATTTGACCTCAGGTCAACGTTTTAGCCTCCAAAGGTCAAAACTCCCGAGATAACAGATTTTATGAAAAACGTTTTTTTCTGCAATAACTTTTGACTCAAGACAGTGACGACATTTATTTTGCCAGCATCGTGTTCCTCTCGACGAGACGAGTCGAATGTACTATAATTTGACCTGTAAAGGTCATTTTGAAAATTTGACCTTAGACCAGGGTCATTGTTATAGCAACCGCTTTTTATTGACCGCCTTCGTCAGTTTTATTATTGCAAGATGTGGATGATGAGTAGAGATGAGTGAAGATGAGTAATTGAATGCGTCTGCGCGCATGCATATATCATGTAGTCTAGCACACGCTCCAAATAGGGTTGCAAAACTTTATCGACAGGTCTGGGTACGCACGCACAGCAACGTAAATCGTGTGGCATGGCCTTCACATGACCTGAGAATGACTTTTTAACGTTGGGTTCGTGACTACTGACTGATTATGCCCTAAGTAACAAATATGGGGTTTGGTGTTTGAATCTTTGTTCATGAATAGTTCATGAATAATGTTTGGTTGTTTGCGTATTTAATAGTTAACGAATTCCTTCATTCAAAGTCACGTGTTCAAGAACGATTTTCTCTTCACGATCAGTTCGTGAACGTTTATGAGGGTTCATGAACAAGTCATCATTTCTTACAGTTTTCACGCCATTATTTTCATACAGTGACACACACGGTTGCAGGCATGCTTTACAACTGCCAAATGCGCCAATCTTATCTCAAGCACATAGGTATAATCGTGATTTATTATTATTCGTAAATTGCTGAAGCTCAAATGGTGCATTTCAGACCTCGTATGACGCCATATCAGACGTCAATAAAGTTGTTTGACGCAATTTGGGTTTTACACTATGATTACGGAGCGAGCGAAGCGAGGCCGGCCGTGCGGACGCTTTTGCGAGGCTTAGGTATATCTCAGCAACCACTTGACCGATTTACATGCGGTCATTTTTGCAGGGTAGCTTCATTCCTTCTGCCAAGTATTGGACTATTCCTGAAGCATGTGGGTGACCCCTTATGCACGTGCCACGTGCAAAACGAAGAGGTGTCAGTTTTGTAATTGTTGCAATATCTCGGTAACTACTTGGCCGATTGCGCTGAAAGTTGGCATGAAGTTAGGCACCCACTAGGCACTGCATATCTATGTGCCAGAGTTGGGGTGCTGCTGCACGTGCGCACGTGCAGGGGTCGTTTCCAGATCTCGAGAACGGCTCGACCGATTGCGCTCAAATTTGGTACACAGTTATGGACCGGTTAGTAGGGTGCCGTGCACAAGTCAGTTGGGACCCATTTTGCACGTGCGCACGTGCAGGGTGCCGCTTCCAGATCTCGAGAACGGCTGGGCTGATTGTGCCCAAATTTGGCACATCGCTAGAGACCGGTTAGTAGAGAGCCGTGCACAAGTCAGTTGGAGGTACCCCTCGCAATTTCGCACGTACAAGGCCCACCCTCTCGCTCGCTCCGTAAAGGCCGCCCCACACTGGAACTCGCATGCGGGTTGCGAGTTTGCGGGTTTTGAGTTTGCGGGCATAATATTAATTCATAGAGTGACTAGACTGTTCCCTTATGGTAACTTCATGAGTGCAGTGAAGCCGATGCACCTTCAGAAAATCGCATATAGTCACAATACCAGCGCAACGAACCAAAATTCGACTCCAACGAAAAACCCGCAAGCCTCGCAGAACTCGCAGACCTCGCAGCGAGGAAAATCGAAAGTTGACTCAAAATAAGCTTCTGGAATGCGATGCAAGGTGGCTCGCAAGCTAAAAACATGCAGACTCGCTTGTTACGTGGTAGTGTGGGTCACTCAGCTTAGATTGTATTATTTGCTTTTAAAGAAACCAGAAAATCCAAAAACCCGCAACCCGCATGCGAGGTCCAGTGTGTGGCGGCCTTTAGTCGCCCCAAAAGGCGTTATACTGGTATATATAATAACTATTGCTGATCAAATTGAGCTAGCGAGTCGGTTGCGCGATCAAATAACTCATAAAGAACTGCCAGTTGCCACATCGAATGATATGCAGCATGATATCCTCCAAGCAGCTTTGTGACCTGAGTAGCTTTGACCTGACCTTGAGGTCAACATTCTAAAATGACCTAGCCCAGACAAAAAGTTTATCATTCGACGCGCCTGACCACGGCAGACACGGTGGTGCCACAATCGCGACTCTGCTACCATTTGTGGCGATCGTATTTACCAAAAACAAAACTCTACTTTGTAGCACTTGACTTGACCTCAGGGGTCACCGGTTCACCTAAGACCTTGAAATCGGATACAAGTCGCTGTGTCTCGTAACGAACAAAACGCAACGCACAAAAGCGAACGCACACGTTCGCTTTTTCTGCGAGGCTCTAGCTCAATTTGGAGCAAAGCGGCTAGGGATGGGGTCTTATCCACCCTTCTACCGTTTTTGCGAACAGTACATGAACGTTCGCGAACTGTTCGCTGTTTGTTCACTAATATTTGGCCGATGACGTCACAATTGTTGAACACAATTGATCGTGAACAGTTTGTTCATGTTCGTTTATTTACAAAAAAAACACCCTGAAAAAGATAAAACATTATAAGAGGAATAGGCATTAACGTTATGAATTCAACTGATAATCAAATCAAATGTGTTATGGAAACGCCTGTTGAGAGACAAATAAGTGAACGTTGTTTGGACTCTGCACAGTGCACATGCCCACGTGCAGACTGGGGTCCCGGCTGACCTGACAGGACTATAGATAAATAGTATAATTATAACAGTGCAAGAGATTTACTCGCAATCGGCCGCGGCCCAGCCGTCCTTAAGATGTAGAAAAACGCCCAAGCATGGAGCCGGGCAACGGACATTGATACAGCAGTGCCCCAGCTGTATGTATGTGCTGTATGTGCGCCACCCACCGGGCGGCGCACATATGAAAGTGTGCCGCCCGGTGGATGCCCAGCGATAGCGATAGGTTCGGCGCAATCGGCCAGTCATGCTGACTGTGGGGCCATGTAAGCGGAAGTCTTTTGATATCCCTGATTGACACATGGCACGTGTTACTACAGTGACCCAGTGTGCTTGAAGTATGTTGGTAGCTGGATTTGTAATAGAAGGAAAGAATGTGTCTCTGGGTCCAGAAAACCATTTGTCGATCCGTTGAGGGGCTGCCGAGATAAGCTGCGTGGCTGTGTGATAAGCGTCATAGTCCCGAGTTCGGACCGGGTCAGGCCGCTCACAGGATTTTTCCTTTAGATCTTACATGAAGTCGCTTACTCGCTCAGCTCTTTCGTAAATGGTAGCGTCTAGCGTATCTAGCAAGGCTCCCCAAACTAATGGAAGTGCAAGTTTGTTAAGCGGTGCAGCCTACCCACGCAGGCAAGACACTAGCGACATCTTCTGCGAGATTACAGAAACAGTGACGCTGTCTTGCGGAACAGTCTACCAATGCTGACGATAGGAGGCCAAGGAACTCTTCGAAAACTAATCAGCTGCGTTGCTATACTTAATTGCAGCTGCGTCTTGTTACATCATAGGAAGTGCTACACGATGTAGGCAATATGTCATCAAAGTTTTAACAAGGTTACCATTTACCAGCCTTGCCGTACTTATAGTCGGGTATTGCTGCTTTTTGTGTGCCTAATTCCTAAAGGCTACTGACTAGCCCGTCAGGGGACGGACAAATGCCATAGTTGTTGTCCGGGTGTTTCATTTATCACTGTGCACTAGGATGTACGCAATGATAAAGATCGAGTCTTTTGAAAAGGATCTTTACTAGATCTCCCTCTCCACTGCATGCGACCGCCAGCAGAACTGGAAATAGGTACTTAATGGAAGTTGTACTTACCAGTAAAACGCCTTTTGGGCGAAGAACGAGCGAGCAAGATAGTGAGCCCTGCACGTGCGGAAGGGTGAGAGGGTACTTCCAACGGGGGTTGTGCAAAGCACCCTTCTAATCGGTCGCTAGCGGTGTGCTAAATTTGAACGCAATCGGCCCAGCCGTTCCTGAGATCTGGAAGTGGAATTCTGCACGTGCGCACGTGCAAACGGGATCCAAACTGACTTTTGCACGGCACCTTACTAACCGGTCCCCAACCGTGTACCAAATTTGAGCGCAATCGGCCCAGCCGTTCTCGAGATCTGGAAGCGCCCCCTGCACGTGCGCACGTGCAGTAGCACCCTAACCGCAACACATGGGAATGCATTGCCTGGTGGATGCCTACCTGTATGCCAACTCTCAGCGAAATCGCCCCAGAAATTACCGAGTTATTGAAATGGAAACAAATTTGGCACCTCTTCTTTTCGTATTTTGCACGTGCAGTGAGGGTCACTCGCATAGATCAAGAGTATCCGACCATTGGTAGAAGGGATGCAGCTACCCTACAAAAATTACCACAAGACAATCGCCCAAGTGGCTGCTGAGATATGAGCCTCTCAAAATCACTACTTTTGCAAAACAGCTTGAACACCCTTGACTTTTCACGTGGCACGTGCCACGACGGTCACTGAGATGTGTCAAGAGTAGTCAATTACGGGGTAGAAGGGATGGGGCCGGGCCGGGCCGGGCCGGGCCGCTCATACTGAGATTTTCCCCTTATATTGAAAAGACTTCGCTTCGCTCGCTGCGCTCGCTCGCTCGTAACAAGTCAGTGGTCACACCTGCAGGCCTGCTCTCTGGCCAGTATCCAAAAGTCCCTGCCAGCCCCCACCAAAGCCCTTTGTACGCGCCCCGTGCAAGTACTCACTGTACTCTGTCGCGCAGAGCGTTGAACCGACCGCTGAGCTGCGGGCCGTACTTTTGGCGCAGGTCGACCATGCTGCTTGCCACCGACCAGGTGGATGCCCGTCGCGGCAGACAGCCGGGCCGGCCCGCTGCCGGCTCACTCCCCACCACCGACCCGCCGCCGCCGTCGGCAGGTGCGTCGTTTGTCTCCCCGTCCGACGAACGATCCCCGGAGCCGCCCGCCCGGGGACCCCATCTCGGCGGTTCGACATGCGAGTCCCCCGAGACGTCTGCCTCCGCCACCAGTGCGACGCTGCTCCCATTCCTGATGTGACCTCGGTGACCTTTGCTCGGCCCCCCGGGACGCTGGACTGCCGTCTCTGGGGCGGTCGTCGGCGTCTCGGCGGCGGCCGGCGCGTCTGGTCCGGCGGCAGTGCCGTTCGTATCCACCGTCGCCGTCACTGTCGCCGTTTCGGTCGTCGTCTCCGACGCGTCGTTTTTCACGGAGGACGGCCGGCGCGGCGCGGAATTGGAGGCGGTCGAAGAGCGGCGGAAGCGAGACAGCATGGTATCGCTGACGGGGCCCGTGACCGGTCAGGAGGGCGCTGAGACGCGGCCGGCCGGAGGGTGCGGAGGACAGCTCTGCCGGGACCGGGCACGCCCCGTCGCGCGCCGGCCAGCACACGTGCCACTGTTCTCTGACCGGTAATTGGCGTCCCTCCGAGCCGTCCGACCAGCTGAGGACACATGTGCGCGGCCCGGGCGCAGCTGCTGACAACTGCTCCTGACCTCGGGCCGTTACAGGTGTATGTATGGGTGCGACGGCCTCCCACTCGTCACACCCACAGGGGTCACGCGGCGCCGGGGGCGATCGGCAGGGAACTAACTAACCGACAGGTGGGGAGGGCGCCAGGCCACGGGCACTGAGCTGACGTGATTAGTAACTCTACTAATCGGGTACGGATTGTCAAAATATATACCTACTGCTTGGGGCGGGAGCCCTCAACACTCGTTCGGGATGTGTGGGAGTTGAACTGCGTCACTAACTATATCAGATAATAAAAAACATGAAGTATACCAATAGGTAAGAGCATGCTTATGCTTGAGCCCTTCGCATGCAACTTTAATTGTGCGTTTACATACACGTCGTTTGTATGCATGGTATCAATATGTTTTACACTGCTGATCATTAATATTTTTGAACTGTTTGCTGAACTAGGTATGTCACTGCACGTACAAGTGCAAATGACTAGTTATATAACGTAGGCATGTACTACTCTTGTTCGGGGAGAAAAGTATTTAAACTTTACGTGAGATATTGAGAGGGTTCCTAATGCACACAGGATTAGCTTCTTTCACAATGTCCCGGCTTAGTTACACCCGTATCGTGGAGAGGGTTGATCACTTTTGCATTGACGTGGCAATCAGAAGCAGGGCGTGGTCTGCGGGACACATGGGCGTAGCACGATGGGGCACTTGGTATAGGTATCGTCATTCGATTCGGCCATGATGTTCCGCAGGCTGCAAATATGCGCAATATGTACATACATGATAGCAAATGTATAAACTCTTGTCTCTGTGTGCTGAGCAAACCAGCACTCGTTTGAGGACCAATGGCTGCTTGACGATATCGAAGTGTGCTCGTCCATTATCAGTAGCGGTCCCGTAGGCGCTGTGTCTCATAGGGTATGGTGCATACCACACAAAGGGAAGGGAGGGACGGGGGAAGAAATGGGCGGAGAGAGAGAGAGAGAGAGAGAGAGAGAGAGAGAGAGAGACAGACAGAGACAGAGACAGAGACAGAGACAGAGACAGAGACAGAGAGACATGTTTTTATTACTGCGCTGCACAGCTCCACTTGAGGAGTTGGAAGCTTTTGCCCGGTGACGCAATGTTTCATTTCTTTTTCTTTTTCAAACATACCCTCAGTGTTGGTAACTATCACAATGCAATATAAACACATTTAAAAGCATATAAATAAAAGCATCGCATGCACAAAGCAAAACTTCCTGTAACAATGATAATGATTTCTTCTCAAAGACAAATGGCTGAAAGAAATGGCCTACTACATAAACTACAGACACACCGGCGCACTAGTCATGGCGGCCTGTTTTCCGGTCCCTTTTCAGTTGTCTGTTTCTGTCCAGCGATCTCAGGGGCCGCCGTGGTTGTCTGAGGAGAAAAGGCCGGTATCCAGGTCCAGTTGAGGCCGGCGCGTCGCACGTTACCCTCGACCCCCGTCTTTTTTCGGCCGTAGCCGGTCGGTTTGATCACCTCTCCACCGCCGAGGTAGGCCCCCCAGAAGCCGAACGTGCCGTGTGTGATGATGGAGTGGTTGCAGGCGGTCAGCATGGCCAGGTCGCCACCGGGGTGCAGCTGCTGGCCGTCACCGGCCACCACCACGTCTGTGGCGCCGGTGCGTGTCACCATCTCGCGCCGGCACCACTCGGGGTCGTCCGAGACCACCACAAACAGCGCGTCCCGGTGGCGGCCCCGCATCAGCGCCAGGGCGCGCTCCAGGAAATCGGCGCCCACCAGCCGGCCGCCGACGAACTTGGGCAGCCACTGGGCGTAGTCGGTCCGGCGCACGTGCACGCCGATGAACGTAGGCGATGTGACGTTGACCTGACGAGCCAGCTCTGCCAGCCGTCGGTCGGCGTGCTGACGCAGCTCGGGCCGGAAGGTGAACTCTCGTAGCACGTCTTTGCGCATGGGGTGGAACAGGTGCACCGCTGTCGGAAAGTCCACGATGACATGGTTTGGATCCTTGCCATTGGGCTTTCTCCTAACCAAGGCGTCAATCTGGATTCTACTCCAGTTGTATCTACATTCAGAGGGCAGCGCAGGAATCGACAGGGAATCAAAGTACACATCGAGAACTTCTGCCATCTCGGGCAGTTGCCAGGCGGGTCTGTGCAGCTTGTCTCTCGCCACCAGTAGCGCCGCATACTCAAACATGATGTTCCCGAGTCGGCCGCCCTTCGCGGCGGAGAGCAGGCCTCCTGACGGCGGACATTGAGACCGCTGGTCGCCCGGCGTGGAGTTTAGAGGCTGCTGGTTCCCCGGCGCGGAGTTTAGAGGCCGCTGGTCCCCCGGTGCGGAGTTGAGAGGCTGCTGGTCCCCCGGCGCGGAGTTCAGAGGCCGCTGGTTCCCCGGCGCGGAGTTGAGAGGCCGCTGGTCCTGCAGCGCCGAGTTCAGAGGCTCCTCCTGCGGAACGGCAAACGGAGCGCCGACTGGTTGGAGCTGACCTTTAGAGACGTCGAATACCAGCAGTAGCGTGGCACAGCACAGCGCCAGTAGCAGCAGTGAGACAGTGCGCCGAGAGCAGGCGATAGGCCAGCGCTGGCCGCCGAGCGTCGTCATTGGGGACCGTGTCGAAACTCCGGCCACCGATGGCGGCCAGTCCCAAACAAAAGCCTGAAAGAAGATAAAGAGACTTAGTTTAACATTCGCACTTGTAGGTGGGGGGGGGGGGGGGGGGAGTCGGATGGATCACTCAGTTTTTTGCAAATAACTCGAGCAAAAACCGGTTGATCGCGACGAAACTTGTAATACTTTTGAGTTGATTAATTTATTACGTACCCTAAGAATTTGATGACCCTGACCCAAATGACCTTTGTCCTGTGATCTACTTTTCGAGACCATGTTTGGCCGATATAGCGGTTCGGCGTATGTCGGCTCGCATTAGCCGCGCGTTTCCAGTCTTTTTGTGATTGTAAGCGTTCAAACATGTGCAATGATGTTGGTCTCTCTGTGGTGGATGGCAAAGTCACGTGAAGGTCAGGTCAAGGTCATTCATGTTTCTAGGGTAGTTTGTTAGTGCCTTCGTAGCATGTTTCGACGCAGTCAGTGGTGGTTGACAGTTGACACCTACTATTGACAGCCGGCAGGATGCCTACTAATTGACCTGACCTGACATGACCGGACCAATGTCTTCATGACATGCCATGATGATTGTCTTCATGAATTTGCATGAAGACATCATCTGTGATAAAAAATAACATGAAATCCGTGATCAGAACCCTGAAAAACCCATAACAGCTTCACTTCACGAAGTTCTAGCAGGTCCCGATTTTCATGACTTTTGTGTCATTGACCTGACCTGGAAGGCTAACCAATGACCTAGGACCTTAAAATTGGGTAGCATCAGCTCCCTCGTGTCACAGGCAGCACGCTCTTTTTTCCGCGAAGCTCTAGCTCGATCAAGGGCGAAATGCAGGCGGTCCAACCGACCTCCCCCTCCCTCCCTACACGTTAAACGCTGGAAAACGCCACACACAGGCGAGGCTAAGCGGGTAAGAAACTGGTTATGTTGTTGTCTAAATGGAACACAGAAAACTGACACCATGTGACACAATCAGCTGAATGTGTGACATCTTCTTCGACCCAGAAATGGTGTCAGGTTGTCGGTCAAAGAACAACCCGCTACCCCGATTACGAAAGGCCGACGAACTTCTGTTATAGGTATGTACAGTTGGAGACCACGCGAAACAATTTCTAGTAGAGTAAGTCATTTCACCATGAAATGATTACGCACATGCAAGCTATTGAGGATAGAGACAATATTTATATTAAGTCTATTGGATGACTTTTTCGAAGTTCTCATGCTGCTATTTTACACTCTGTAAACAAGTACTGAATGCGATGCCCATTGACATGTTGAATACTGTTGCTTTACCTTTTCATTAAAGCACGAGTTATGGGTTTGAGCCAGCGCCTGGGTGGGGCCTCAGCCAGCTTTATGATAGTGGGGAGGGCGTATTTGGCCACACCAGACTATCTTGGTAGTTAGGAGAGCTATAAGAACGGTTAAAATATAAGAGGCAAGATAGAGGCCCAAGAAAGCATGCGAACTTTTACTTTCAAATCTTGAAAACACGATTTATAAGAAGCTAAAATCAGAAAATCAAAGGATAATAGTTCAAGAGTGCTTCCGACCCGGGACATTTATACCGCCCGGCGGCTGGGTGCCACGGCGAGCGACGCGGCACCCACACGGACCCGCCAGAGACGCGCCTCGGCGGAACAATGGACACGTCCCACACGCAGTATCGCGCTGCTGATAGTTCTAATCTGGGTGGTCTCTTTGCCAAGTGGGTATATTTGTGTGTGGTAGAGAGAGAGGGGGTCTGCAGGCTGGCAAATTTACTATTTGAGACTGCCGGAAGCGAATATAGATAGCTAGTCCCTGAATTTTTTCCGAGTTTTAAAAAAAGAAAGTTAAGTATTATTTGTCCTATGGTTGTTGCAATCATTTCGGGTCGTAACTTTCAAAATGCATTAGGTACAAAAATTGGTTAGCGTGTCAATGAGAGTGGGGATAAACGGCAGACCGCTAGGCCGAACTCGATTACGACAGGACGGCGACTTCTTGAGATAAAGTTCAAAAGCCTCAACCAGAAAGAATCCCTTTCAGAGTAAATCCTCATTATCAACCAGTAAAACGCCTTTTGGGCGACCAACGGAGCGAGCGAGAGGACGGGCCTTGCACGTGCGAAATTGCGAGGGGGTACCTCCAACTAACTTGTGCACTGCACCCTACTAACCGGTCTTTAGCGATGTGCCAAATTTCAGCGCAATCGGCCTAGCCGTTCTCGAGATCTGGAAGCGGCACACTGCACGTGCGCACGTGCAAGCGGGGTCCAAACTGACTTTTGCACGGCACCCTACTAACTGGTCCCCAACCGTGTACCAAATTTGAGCGCAATCGGCCCAGCCGTTCTCGAGATCTGGGAGCGCCCCCTGCACGTGCGCACGTGCTGTAGCACCCCAACCTGAACACATGCAGATGAATTATCTGATGAAGACCTAACTGTGTACCGAGTTTCAATTCAATCGGCCCAACCGTTGTGCCGTTATTGAGGTTGCAATTTTGGGGGTTCTTAAAAAATGTCCAACTTTACCACGCGCCACGTGCGGTGGTTGGCAAGAACGCATGGTGGCCATCACACCACAGAACTTTTACGTCCAAGTGACATTCAGTAAAGAAGACCGCTTGTCAATCGGATGTCCCGTTCCTGAGATATTAGCTTTTGAAGAGCGTCCCCACGGCCGGCCGGCCGGCCGGCCGGCCGCTCATACTCAGGATTTTCCCTTAATTCAGTATGAGACTCCGCTCGCTTCGCTCGCTCCGTAATTAAAGGGACTATCCCACCTTCTAAAATGTTGTTAAAACCAGTTAAATTGTGCCCGACTTTATAGATTGGATGACCAGGAACACGGTTCTGGCATTTATTTTTCATTGAACATCTTAGGCTTCCCATATTCCAAACACAAACTTTCAAATATGTGACGTCACAGCCCAAAATTACCTCCTTCCCCAGGCCACATTACTGTCATAAAGCTGATTCTTTTTACTCTGTAGGCACCACAACAAAGTTCAGACCAGGTTTTAAGCGATTTTTCAACGAACAAACCCATTTAAATCAGAATGACTAAACGAGGTGACGTCACACTAACGGTCGCTCCATGTTGAAGATAGGGCCTTGTACAAGGCCCATTTTCAAATGAAGGGAACGAATTTCTTCAACACCAAGAGGCCGCGGGGGTTGCAACCTAGATAGATAGTGGTTTCTGAACCTCGCCGCAAACTTGGCTATCTCAACTCAAACCCCATGTTAGGGGAAGTTGGGGGAACGCCGAAGACTTTTTTTCTGACGCCCGTAGCACGCAAGGTAGACAACATACGCTATTCTTGTTGGCGTCATTCGAGAGGCCAGTCTTTTGCCTTTCAAACATACCAGGCGCATTTGATGAATTCGCATACCGTTAAGCGCACAAACTAAAAATATCTAAGAAGTGACTTTTTCGGCGTTGCCCCGGACTGCGGGGAAAGCCGAAAATGGGAGAAATGATCTACGGGGAATGCCGACATTGATGTTTTGCCATTTTATCTCAAACTTTATCCAGAATTCATCAAAGCTGACACACGTTTCGAGAGCTTGAGGACGCGGTGCACACTGGAAGTTATAATTGTGTGATATAATAAGAAAATGTCAGGTAAATCATTGCTTATAGGTAACAGGCCGTTGTGTCGGTTGAAAGTGTAATTTGTGTGACTAAAAATACGCGTTGCTATTCTACAGCAGTAGAGTCCACGTAGCGTGCTTTTAACACGTGCGTAATCGCACGTTTTCGGCATTACCCCAGCCAGCCATACTTTCATTTGCAGGCCCATAACTTTTCAACGTGCTGTATAAATTTCAAATAGGCAGCACACTTATGCAAAGACATGCTAAAGATTACTTGACCGAATTGGCCAGACAAACGGTAGCATAATGAGTAAAAAATGCAGCTTCAAAGGCGCATGTAGTACAAGGGAAACGTACCTTGAAAACGCTCTTGGCGCCCTTACAGTCGAAGTATTCCGAATGACGACTCGTAACAAACATGCGATAATTGTAGTCACTTAAGCTTCAGAGCATCACTGACAGGTGGCATCCATGTCTTATGGTTTTCGAAATATCTCGAATTTCGGCTTTGCCCCAACTCCGGCATTGCCCCAACTTCCCCTAAAGGTGGGATAGTCCCTTTAATACTAATGTGATTATTGATGCTGTTGAACATAGCGACACCATTCGTCTCTCGGGCCGATTGGGTGAATTTCCAAAAGAGATCGTCTCTTCAAACAAGCAGCAAAGTATAGCAGGCGATGCGCATTGGCATATCGATTGCCTTGATGTTTTAGGTTTGTTTTAGCTGTACATATTTATATAGCATGATGAAAGCTCAAAGGATCGAGCGAACTTTTAATTACAAACACTTAAACTAAGCATTAACCTGAGGGCACAAGAAATTCGCAACGGCACGAGCATTGATTCACAGATACGGCACCGCGCAAATTTGGTTTGATGATTCCAAGTGTCATAAAAGCTCATTCTTAGAGGGTTTTGTCATCCTCAACCGGCCACCTAATGAAAAAATGCCTAGCCGCGCGGGGATACAACAGTTGATACATTTGACTTGATATGCATTACCACGTGCTATTGCGAATGTGCATAACTTTTGTCGTTTATTTCAAAGACGTGAAACGTTAAGTTTTTCTTAGAAAGAGGAGTGGAGACGATGTTTAGCACTTTCACGTCAATTAAGCACATTGCTCGATCGTAAATTGATATTTTGTAATATCAATTTGTCACGCTCCAGTAAAAAGCGAAACAATAAGATGTAACTTGGACAGAAGGCCGGAGTAGTCCAAGCATTTTATTTCATTGATTTAATTTCAATTTTATTTTATTGTGACAATGGTTAAGGAGAGTATACTCCATAGATATAGGAACAGGGGGCTGGGGCGGGGAGCCATGCCCCTCTCCCCATTTTTCAGTCAATTTAGCTACAAAAATAGGGGCAGGAAATGGTTCAGCAAGGTGAGATGAGCACAAAACTGGAAATAACTACTTCATTTGGGTATTGGGGCTCCCACAAAGTGACATTGTAGTTTCGCTCCCCCCCCCCACACACACACACACACCTCTCGTGAGGCTCCTGCGTCCATATTATACTCATTTACAATGTGGTTATTTCAATTGTTTTTAAAAGATATTACTTCCAAGTGAAGGTAAAGTCACAATAGCTATCGAAATAAATAGGTACACGAACTACAGACACTTACCGGAATTCGATACGATATAAGAGATAGTTGATGTTACATTTGCAGTTCCTCTACAGTACACCATTCGAAACTGATTAAAACAGCATGTCAAAGAATTGGTCAAATCCACAGCGCTACCGGGCCCGGACTATCATCACCCGATGGCTAACTGCCACGGCGAAAGGCAACACCCAGCCGTGTCCGCCAGAGACGCGAGAGTGGAGCATGTGTGTGCCCGCGCCGAAAACGCACTATCGCGCATGCTGATAGCCCTTATCTGGACTATCGTGTTGCCGGGCGGGGCTGCTGTGGAACAGTGGACAGCTGAAATTACCTCCTGCATTGGCTTTGTTGAGTTACATATGTAGTGTACTGACAAACTGATGGCATAACAGTGCCGGATAATTTCGCTGCTGACATTTTCCAGATAATGTAAAAACTGTGGTGTGTAGCATCCCCAAAATTTGCACGACTGCTTCGACAATCATTGCATGCGTGTTGGTCTTTATGCTGGCTCCAAATCTTAACCCGCGCACCGACGGGGGTCTGCGCCAACTTCGCACCGACGGGGGGGGGGCGGATGACCGCCCCCCCTGAGATCTCGAGAACGAAGCAAGATAGCGACAAGCGGTAAACGGCATCGGATACGCACGGTCAAGATCTACAATTTTTACAAAGGTCATTTTCAGGTCAGGTCAAAGATGACGTCACAGGGGTCGAAAAAGCCAAAATGGCGGCGCTAGATATGGAGAGAGTTTTTCTCGAATAACTTTCGAATTAGTCAAGATAGGAACAAACTAAGGGCATCATCGTAATCCTCTCGTCAATCCGCATCGAATGATATATATGTTGACCTCGAAAGGTCAATGTCAAAGGTTGACCTCAGGTCACGTGACCTCGAGGTCATCATGTATATCATTCGATGCGTCTTGACGAGCTGAACACAATGAGACCATTCACGCATCTGTATCTTGTTCCTGTACGGAGTTATTGGCCAAAAACCTTTGGTGACCTTTGATGACGTCACATGACCTCACAGCTGCCCAACAGCAAAACAGACCTCAAGGTAGTGAGGGTTGATCGTATATGAAGTCATGTATGGTATATGGGGCCATTCCGACCCGTTTTAGTGGTAAAAACAGGGAGTTGATTTTTCCCCCATTGACTTATAATGGGGAGGTCGCGAAATTGACCTGACCTTAGGTCACCGATATCAAAATTCCGAGATATACAAATTGTAGCTACTAATGACCTAATAACATCCTGCGACTTTCAAAGGCCTCCGACTTCTACTGTAGCTCTGGCACGGTGACAAAGTTGAAAAAAGTGATTTGAGGTTGGGTCATTCAAAGTGACCTGGTGACCTGACCTTGAAAGGTAGGAGGTTTAAACTTGCACACCATGTGTAAAATTGATGAGGGAATAGTCATACCAAATTTCGCGGCGCTACGCGCCGCGGTTTTCCCGCTATTCGCGAAAAACCTCAGGGGGGCGGATATCCGCCCCCCCCCCCGTCGGTGCGCGGGTTAAAATAAAGCACTCATAAAGTCACACTTAGAGCTAGCACAATAGAATACATTTCCCTTTGTTCTATAGCGCCATTGTTTTACCGCGCTCCAATACTAGCTTCACGGAGTTACCATGTAGCCCTGTAACTGTACTATTGGTCTCAAGATAAGGGTCCAGGCGACCTGTAGGTTTGATGCGGTGAATACTCCCACCTTCGCCACACTCGCTCGGTGCTACGGAGCTCCGATCTCGCGACCGGCCACCTGTACTTGTAGACTGTGCCGCATGGCATAGCAGTCGAGCGGGCCAGCGGAGCTTAGGCGGAAACTAGCGCCGCGTTTGACAGAGAAGGACGCCCACCATTCCGGCGGGAGGGCCGCTCGCCATTTTAACTCCATGTAGCGTCTCGCTGACAATGAAAGACACTACAGGACGACAATATATCATTCCGCAAAAGTTATGTCCACTACCTATGACAACACTTTCCTGTTCCTAATCGTGTCCACACCTGAGGGATGACGATTCAGGCTGCACTCCTGCATTGCGGGGTCCTTGACCGCAGAGCATGAGGTGACGAACGAACCTCGGGTCACGGATCACCGAGCTACGGCCAGTTTCACAGAGATTATCCACCTGAACGGCTGCGTCGCTACGTGAATGTCTGAAATTTCTATCAAGGGAGCTGAACCAGACAGTCGGCATGCTCCAGGCCGAAATGACACAGCGTGTCATTGCTGATTGGTTGGGACATCTGCCTGCTGTTTTTGTTTGCAAGTCTTAATTATAGACGAACTGTCTGCACAGTCTGGCATTGGTGGGATAAGCATACGGCTGCTGGCAGTGTTGCTGATCGTTCCAGTTTGCCGGCGTGCGCCTAGCCTACCATTTCAAATGTTACAGAAATCGCATTGAGAAAGGCGACCGGGAAGAGGGGCCAGTACTTGGCGACAAAATTGGCCAAGCGACTCGCGCTGAAGCGCTATCACATCTCCAAACAGGACCGTGAGACGCAATTGGAAGAGCTCTCCAAGGCTCATTACCTACCTTCGGCCCAATACTAAGCCAACGCATGGTCAATGACATGTTGACATGCATTTTCAATCAGGACGGTGCGCCAACTCATTGCTCTGCCAAGGCCTAGCGGTGGTGCGAATTGAACGTGCCAGACTTCTGAAGGAAAGAGATGCAAGCCGGCCGCCCTCCGGACCTCATCCTGATCGACGAACTTCGGGCTGTCGTCCAGCAGGACCTGGACAAACAGAAGCCGGCGGCCAACCTCGGCGCCTTGTCGTTACAGCTCAAACGGGCATGATAAAACATCCAGCCGTATTTACTGCACAACCTAGTTGCCAACATGCAAATTTGCGTTCGTATGTAAGTCCCTGTTCGTGGGGAATAAACTGAACGCTAAAGAGAATCGCTGTCCCCTATGTAGTAACTTAGAGAGAACATTTTTTTTTTAGAGGATAAAACTTATGCCGGACCATGTAGCTCACGCATCATACATTGCAGTTTCACCTTAGACTGCAAGACGTGGCAATTTGTTTAGGACATAGCAATTAATGTTGTCATGATCGGCATACCGCCAAGAACGTCACTATTTATATCATTATCTTAACGGATGCATATTTCAACCTTCATAGCTTTAAATTTCCTACTGTTTCATATAATTTCATTTATGGCGCTGAACAAGTGTTGAACAGTTCATTTCAATAATTGCATTGTTAAACCTCCGGTAGGGTTAACCATTAAACAATATGCTATGTGTTACTCTCGCCCCGTTTGCTATGTGTTCGCTTTATAATTCTATCAAACGTGATATCATTTCAAGAAAGCACTAATAGTGTAGAGTGTAGAAGCCATTCCCACTGATGGGACTCGAAGCTATGTAGCTAGGTAATGCATAAGGCTGATTGGCGAACTTCAGCTTGTAGACAAGACAAGGAAACGTTCTCAAAAATCAAATCCACACGTAACAAACATATTTCAAGAGTGCACGTATCTCGTTGTCGTTGTATCCGTTATTCCTCGTCGGACCTATCGGCTTTCTGAATACCGAGAGACGTCTAGTGTGTGTGTGGGGGGGGGGCCGCCGCCGTTTCGCCCATTATTAAGCTAAAAGCCTTGTAAACGAAAACAACACCCAGCGATTCACAATCAAGTTAAAAGTGTCAGATCAACATGTTACCTCTGAGGTCAGGTCACGTGCACAAGTGCAGGGTGTTCATTAGCGAATGACGTAAAGTAAGCCCCCGCTGGAGCCCCAAATGATCGCCGACCATCGTGCAGACGAAGCCTTCGACGACTCACGGCAGCGTTCAGTTCATCAAGGGTCTTGGACTCTTGAGCTCGCTCCGCAATTTGAGTTGCTTGAGGTTAAACGGTGAAGTCCAAGCAGGAAAAATCCAGACTGCAGAGTGACCAGGGGTGCTGGGATCTTGTTCAGTTACTCGAAGGTGAAGAGAGTCTAGCAATTCTTCAGTAATCTGTCCAGTATTAACGTTCGCAATTGCTTAAGAAACCTGGGAAGACATTTTTAAATATATTGTGATGTCAATTATAGAAAGTCGTGATACCGATACGAAACCAAATACCAACAGGAGCCGTGGGAAAATACCGAAACCAAACCGACTTGGGAATATCAGGGAAATGCCAACTTTTTACCAAAGTCACAGTCTCTTTTACAGTAGCGAGGATTCACAATACCAACAAAATACCAAATGTGTTAGCCTCAAAACGCCAAATACCAAGTTGGTATCCGTTTGGTATCGGTATGCCAAAAAGTTGGTATTTGATTGACATCTCTAATATGGACAATCCTCCACAAGAAGAAACTGAACTGGAAACATTATCGTCCCATCCTAATGACCGTCATCTCCCCTGACAGCATGGTGTCGAGGGTGGAAGCGTGCACCTTTTGGCTCACAGCTCAGTGAAGCGGAAGAATGGTTCGAAAGGGTGATATTGAGTGACGAAAAGTGGCTCGCGCCTCGCGCTACAGCAAGCAACCGCAAGAATAATACAGGCTCCTTCGCCGAAGAATCCACAAAAGTTGATTCCATACAAGGATGTGCACGGAGCCAAGGTCTTGGCCGAGGTCTGCCGCACGGAGAAGCAAGTTTTCTTCGAGCGAAACAACTGATTTCTGTTTGTGCTATGTAAAATGTCTAAGATTTATCATTTCAACGGTGAGCTGTTTATGCAATATGTCTTAGGCCTCTGGCGGGGCTGACTTTATGTCATCTTTTATTGATGACCCTGTAATTTAGAGGATAGCGCGTGGATGTTTAAATGTGGTTATCCCGCACCGTAGACAGTGTTTACAATTGCCTCACGTGCAAAGAGAGAAAATTATCAGATGTCGTGTAACTGATTTTTTAAACGTCTAGACGATTAACAAACTGTTAAACGTCTAGTAGACATTTCGTCTATAATCTTAAATAGTCTGAAATATGTCGTATGTTTATATAAAATGTATTCCTTATCATTAAGCGCCCGAAAGATATCGGCGATACGGGATAAAATTATTTAACCGCGAGTAGGTAGAACAAATTTTTTAAACGTCGAGTCGATAGGCGAGACGTTTAAAATATTTGTCTACCTACGAGTGGTTTAATAATTTTATCCCGTACCGCCGGCATCTTTCGGTCACTTAAGTTAAAAAATACATTTTATGTAAAAATACGGCATATATTTCAGG